CATGCCCTCAGCGCTGGGCAAGTACCTACCTGACAGGCCAGGATTAACCCTTTCACTCCCTCAGCGCTGGGTGGGTACCTACCTGACAGGCCAGCCTTAACACTTTCACTCCCTCAGCGCTGGGCGGGTACCTACCTGACAGACCAGCATTAACCCTTTCACTCCCTCAGTGCTGGGCGAGTACCTACCTGACAGGCCAGTCTTAACCCTTTCACTCCCTTAGCGCTGGGTGGGCACCTACCTGACAGGCCAGCCTTAACCCTTTCACTCTCTCAGTGCTGGGCGGGTACCTACCTGACAGGCCAGCCTTAACCCTTTCACTCTCTCAGCGCTGGGCGGGTACCTACCTGACAGGCCAGCCTTAACCCTTTCACTCTCTCAGCGCTGGGCGGGTACCTACCTGACAGGCCAGCCTTAACCCTTTCACTCCCTCAGCGCTGGGCGGATACCTACCTGACAGGGCCAGACATCCTTTTTACACATTCTGATCTGGACAAATACATACTGAACAGTGCCAAACCTAACCCTTTATTAGTGTACTTTAAAATAGTGATAGCTTTAAATATGGAATGATTAGATCCCCATATTTGCTAAAAATTTGTTTTTATGTAGCCTTGCACAATTAAAAAACATATCATTGCGTGCGCACTGTCCCCTTAAAGTGGCTCTGTCACATTGTAGATTTTGTATTTAAACAAATCCTTCTTTAACCTCTAATTCCCCGTGGTTTTATACTTTTGATATTCACCTTTGTTTTTTAGTTATACTGTACATAAAACAGGGATTACATTTTCAGTTGCTAAGCTAATTTTCCCAAATTCCATCTAACAAAAGAATCCTACAGAAGGACAAACTGCAGACATTGTGGACAGACGAGAACAAAATGGTGGCGCACAAGTATTGAGATCCAACACCAGTCCCAAAAGATAATAAATATAGGAAAAGGCAAATGGTAATGTGAGAGTGTAATCAATCACAGAAATGCATAAGGAAAGAAAATAAAAATGACATTGCTGCTTAATGTTTAAATCCACATCCTTACTCTCCCTCTCTACCACTTATATAGTTAAAGGAACATTCCAATTACTATAACCACTGCATTGTGCTGTAGTTGTTATTTTGCTCCCCATTGTAAATTGCCAAACCACTTTTGTACAGCTTGACTTTTTACCTTGGGATCTTTCGGAACCCGCTCACTGTGTCTGGGAGCTTTTGCGCATTGGTTAGCACTCCTCAGTTAAGCCCTGCTGCACTGGGTCATTGTCTGAGAGTGTCTGCTGATCTCTCTGACAGGAGGTGGGGATTGTTGCCCCTTCAGATCCCAGGCAAACTGTTCTAAAATGGTTTGACTACTTACAGTGAGTGGGGGGACCTCAGGGCACTCCTGGCACCAAAACTACTACTGTGTGCTGGAGTGCTTATGGGGCTTGGAGTGTTCCTTTAACCCCTTAAGGACGCAAGACGGGCCCATTCCGTCATGTTGGGGAAGTACTTAACGAATTAACCTCAGATCGCCGCAATCATGGGCTTAACGCTCCTCCAGTCTGCCTTGGTATTCGATGCAGACTGGGAGCACCCGATTGCGCTGTCCCTCTAGCTGTGATCACTCTTACAAGCTCTCAGAGCAAGCACATGTGCTGCAGGGACTTCTGATCCGCCTTCCTGCTCTTTCGCGTTCAGTGTGAAGTGCAGGGAGACGGATCAGTGATGATCCTCTTAACCCTGTAAAAAAATAAAAAATGTAAGTTGAATCCCATCCCCCCTTTCCCCTGCTTTAATAAAAGTAAGCCCTTCCTTGCCAATTCATCACTGACTACAGTGATGAATTGGCAGGGACTCCATTTTACTGTGAATCTGAGGGTTGTTTTATTTTATTTAACCCTCGGGTTAAATTTATTTTATTAATTAAAATATTTAAAAATTATATATTTAGCTAGCTGGGGTCGGTGGAAGTTAGTGGGGAGTTTCATGTTAGGCTAGCTAGGGGTTAACATTAAAAAAAAGTTTTTAAAAAGTAAAAAAAATAAAAATAAAATGTTTAATAACGTTTAAAAAATTCCACCCCACCTTTACCCAGTCCTAATAAAAATGAACCCATTCCCTGCCAGTTGATCACTGCCTACAGTGATCAAAATACAAATCACAGTATCTGATTTTTTTTTTTGTAACCCCTGGGGGTTAACTTTTATTTATTTTTGTAACCCTCAGGGGTTCAATTCATTAATTAATTTAAATATTTAACAGTTATATATTTTGCTAGCTGGGGTGGATGGGAGTTATGGGAAATTGGGGAATTTACTGTTAGTGTTGCTTACTGCTAGTTATGGGTTAACAGTAAAAAAAAAAGTTTATAAAATTTTTAAAAATGTCAAAAAAAATCAAAAGTTATAAAAAGTAAAAAAAAATTATAAGTAAACAAAAAAGTTAAAAAAAATAACAAAATGCTCATTACCACTACACCTGGAACAAACTAGCGAAAAAACGATCCCATGCTAAGGTTCAAAATATGCTTTTTGAATTACCCCGGGGTGTGTTCTTTAATAAATAGTATGTGTTTGTGGGGTAGTTTGAATAACCAACCAGCTAAACTACTCCAATATGAAACATGGACACAGCGTAAAACTTCAAAGAAAAAAACGGAATAGCTATGTCTCAAATGTGCCCCTTTAACATATACCTGGCAAAGGTACATACAGGGGTATTGCTGTACTCAGATGACATAGCTGAGCAACATATGTAGTATTCTGCAGGCCTAGCACACATAAGGTTTGCAAAATATACTGTTCAAACTTCCTTTGTGTGTCAAAAAGGAAGAAAAAATGCTTATTACCACTACACTTGGTACAAGCTAGTGGGAAAATGATCCCAATATGCCTTTTGAAATACCTTGGGATGTCTTCTTTAATAAATGGTATGCCTTTATGGTGTAGTTGGAATATGTAGCCTGCTCAAGTGCTCCAAAGTGGGACGCATCAAAACCCTTTGGTGTATAGAACATGCCCCTGCAGCCTCACTGCTCAATCCTCTGCTATTTAGGAGTTAAATCCCTTTGTTTATGAACCCTAGACACACCTCCCTGCATGTGACTTGCACAGCCTTCCATAAACACTTCCTGTAAAGAGAGCCCTATTTAGGCTTTCTTTATTGCAAGTTCTGTTTAATTAAGATTTTCTTATCCCCTGCTATGTTAATAGCTTGCTAGACCCTGCAAGAGCCTCCTGTATGTGATTAAAGTTCAATTTAGAGATTGAGATACAATTATTATTTTTATTTTATTTTTTGGTTTTGCATTGTATTTTTTTTTTGAAATTCAAGATTTTTATTGTTTTCAAGTCAAAAAAGGGGTTATAGGGGTACAGAAAGGAAGAAGGGGTGGGGGGAGGAGGGTAACAGAGTTTTAGGACCAGTCGTCCTTTTGATTATTGTTATGACAGAGTATCATACATTGACATGGATTAATGTGACCGTCATATTGTACATCAAAGGCAGTTATCAAAACAAGGTTGAGTCTGCTGTTAACATTGTACCTCATGTGTGCCTGGCACAGTAGCCTTCCTGGTCTTATTTTTATAGAGTTTCTTCGTCGTTGCTTGTTCATATTAGCCGGGGTAGGGTACACAAATGAGGGGGGGCTTGGGTAGAAGGTCAGGTACACAGAGTTCCTGTTTGTAGCTTACTTTGTCTGTAGCTGGCAAGATGTTTGAGCTATGACCTAGTGGTGTGCCTGATTGTGCGGTGGTTCTGGTTGCCACTGCTGTTTATAATCGCTTTCGTTTGACTCTGTATTTAGTGGGAAGGGGGCTCCAGGGTGTAACTCCTGGAGTGGGGTGAACTATATTACATCGCGTAACAGTTTACCGTGGTTTCACGTGTGTTACGTTTGGTTTATGTGACGTGTTGTTGTGTGTGTGGTGTGTTTAGTGTCCCAGATAGGAGGTGGTGTGTGTTTGTGAGTCTCCGTCTGGGGTGTGTACAGGAAGGGGGGGGGTCTGTCACTCCGTGAGGCTGGTGTTTGAGGCTTGTTGGTGGACCTATAGATGTGTTGCGACCCCTGTCCAGGCTGGGATATGCCGTGGGGTTGAGTATTCTGGGGTTGGGTGGTTATACTTTTGGGTAGGCTAGAACTCTATCCATGGTCTGTGTGTGTGCCCGTCCTCGGGTTATAGTTGACTGGTGGGGAGTGTTGGGCCAAGTGTTTTTGCTCAGGTCGAGTGCCTCCCGCCATGATTGGTGGGCTGCCTCTAACGGTGCTAAGATGTGTAGTCTGTTTGGTTTGTTCCTGAGGTGCTATGTGTGTCTAGAGTATTGTGGGGTTGTGGTTTGTTTACCTGTGACACTGTTTGTCATCTCTACTTTGGATGTGCTCTGGTGTCTGCTGGACAGTGTGGTCTGGTCCGAGGTGTGTTAGCCAGAGTTCGAGCATCGCTCTGTGTGGTTGGGTCAATCGGCCGTGTTGGAGGACCTCGGGTGCTCCCTCCCACCTGGTCAATCTCCCCTGATGGGACGTTCGGCAGGGTGGGGAATTCGAAGATCCATGGCTCCCATATTTTGTCGAAGTGTTTGGTATTGTCGTGTATTAAGGCGGTTAGTTTATCCATTTGCATGGCGTCGTTAATTTTCTGTTTTATGATTGTGGTGGACGGGATATCTGGGCTCCCCCATTTCTCCGCTATCGCTCGTCTGGTGGCCAAAGCTAGCTTGGCCAGTAGTTTGTTTTGTGCCCTTGGGGTGTTTTTAAGTGGTCTGGATAGGAGCTACAGCCAGGGGTCCAACGGGATTGTGGTGTGTAGAGCCTGTGTGGCAAGTCGCGCCATATGTTGCCACAGAGTGGTTACTCGAGGGCACTCCCACCACATGTGAGTGTATGTGCCTCTGTTCCCGCAACCCTTCCAGCACAGATCGTTATCTGATTGTTTCATTTGTTTCAGGCGTAGTGGGGTGACGTACCATCGGAGGAGGGTTTTGTATGCTTGTTCTTTGTGATTGACGCAGATCGATACCGTTGCTGTAGCTTCCCATATGTCTGCCCAATCGCTCTGGTTCCCTATGGGGCCAAGGTCTCTCTCCCAGGCTGCAGTGTAGGACAGAGATCCCTCTCGTGGTTGTCTGCTTAGTAAGGAGTATAAGGTTGATATTTGTCCCGTGCCTAGTGGATGTGTGTTGCACGCTTTTTCCAGCGGTGTGAGAGGGGAGTTGCTCGCTTTCACTAAGGCTGGTTTTTCTATGTAGCTGCGGATCTGTAGGTAACGGAAGAGGTCGCGAGCTATGAAGGGGGTCTGTTGAGGGAGTTCCGCGAAGGGTATGATAGTTTGGTTTTTGTAAAATTGGTGAATGCGGATCAAGTCGTTGTCTTCGTAACGGACGAAGTCCTTTGGGTGCATACCTGGTGTGAATTTAGTGTTCCGGAGGATGGGCATTAGTGGGGAGGGCTGGGAGATAAGGTCATGTTTTTGGGTGATTTTATCCCAAATGTTTATCTTGGTGAGAATAGCTGGGGAGGTGATGGGAGTCGGTGGCCTGGCGTCTTTTGGGAGCCAGATGAAGAGAGAGGGAAAGTCTGAACCAAATATATTATGTTCTAGGTCTACCCATCTCTTAAGGCCAGGGGCCGCGTGGAGTTGGATTGTCTGTGCTATTTGTGCCGCATAGAAGTAGTGGGTAAGGTTGGGAAGTCCTAGTCCACCCTGCCTATTTGGTATGTACAGTGTGCGTCGGGCTATACGCGCTCTTTTTCCCGCCCATATAAACTTGTCTATATGAGTTTGAAGTTTTTTAAAGTCAGAGGCTAGGATCGGTATTGGAAGGGTCTGAAAGAGGTATAGGAACCTCGGGAGGACCTCAGTTTTTCCTAGGTTGAGTTTGTATCCCGAAAGTTGTGCGTATTTCGTGAGCTCCATGGACAGGGGTGGCAGGGAGTTCAAAGGGTCTGTTATTGACAGGAGTACATCATCTGCATATGCCGCAATCTTATAAGTTTCATCCCTAATTCGCACTCCTTGGATCTCGTTGTGGTTACGCAGGACTTGGAGTAGTGGTTCAAGAGAGATGGCGAAGAGGATGGGGGAGAGTGGGCACCCTTGTCGCGTTCCATTCCTAATTTGGAAGGAAGGGGCTATCGTCGATTGTAGGAGAAGAGTGGCCGTGGGGGAAGAGTAGAGGGTCGTCAGTGCGTCCAGGAAGGGTGATGGGAAGCCAAATTTCTGTAAGGTTGCGAAAAGAAAGGGCCATAGCAATCTGTCAAATGCCTTTTCGGCGTCTAGGCATATTAGCAAGGTCGGTATACGTCTGCGGTTGGTGTACCAGATAAGGTCGAAGGTGCGCCTAGTGTTATCACTGGCTTGTCTGTGTGGGATAAAGCCTACTTGGTCTGGGTGGATAAGTCGAGGAAGGAGGGGGTTAAGTCTTTCCGCCATCACCTTCGTGAATAGTTTGACGTCTACGTTTAGTAGGGATATTGGTCTGTAATGTCCGCGCTCGAGGTGGGTCTTGCCAGGTTTCGGCAGGAGGCAGATGTTCGCCTGCAGCATATCGGGGGGCAAGGGGTCCCCCTGTAGGAGTGAGTTGTAGAGTTTGCTTAGTTGCGGGAGTAGGGTCGACGCAAAGGTTTTGTAATATAACCCCGAGAATCCGTCTGGGCCCGGGCATTTGTTTGGTTTTAGTGTTTTAAGTGCTTTTGCTATTTCTTCTGTAGTAATTTCTTTGGACAGTCGGCTAGCCCCTTCGGGTGTTAGTGAGGGTAGGGTGATAGAGTCGAGGTATTCGTTGATTTTGGTGGTTAGTTGTGCGGGGTCTCGTCTGTGTTGGGGGCTATGATCATAGAGCTCCGAGAAGTATTCTTGAAATATCTTTGCTATTTGGTCTGGTGAGTCCTGCAGCTGTCCCTCTCTAGAGTGGATTTTGGTGATTCTTTTATGTGCGGTTCTGCGATTGAGTTTACGGGCAAGTAAAGTGTCCGCTTTGTTGGACTTCTCGTAAAAGAGCTGGCGGGTCCATTGGAGGGCCCGGACTGTGTCCGTGGACATGAAGTCTTTTATGGCCGTCTGAAGTTGGCGTATTTTAACAGTTAAGTCTGGAGTGGGTTGGGTTTTGAAGGCGATTTCCAGTGAGCGGAGTTCTTTCAGGTTATGTTCTAATTTTGCTAGGCTTTGTTTCTTGTGGTGGGTGGCTTGACTTATTAGGGTGCCTCGAATTACTGCCTTATGCGCCACCCACAGTGTCCCCTGTGTGGTGACTGAGTGTTGGTTCAATGTGAAATAGTCGGTGATCGGTTCAGGCGCCAATGCCATCGGCGGGTCGTGGCCGGCGGGTCGAGGCTAAGTGAGATGTCAGCGTGGTCTGGTCGTGATTGATCCTATAGTCGTGGATTTGATCATCGGTATCACAGACGGGGAGGTCAAGAATATGTCTATGCGTGAGTGGGATTGGTGGGGGTGGGAATAGAATGTGTAATCCCGAGCGGCCGGGTGTTGCGCCCTCCATACGTCCACAAGGTGTGTGCGCATGAGGAAGGCTTGGAGAAGTTTGTCCGAGGTTGCCGTGCGACCCCGAGATGCCGTTTGGTGGCCTGCCCTATGTCTATCCATCGCTGGGGATGGGGTTGTGTTGCAGTCCCCTCCTATTACCAAATGGTAGGAGGAGAATAGTGCTAAAGAGATACAATTATTTAAGGTAAATTACATCTGTTTGAAAGTGAAACCAGTTTTTTTTTTTTTCATGCAGGCTCTGTCAATCATAGCCAGGGGAGGTGTGGCTAGGGCTGCATAAACAGAAACAAAGTGATTTAACTCCTAAATGAGAGTGAATTGAGCAGTCTGTTTTACAGCACTGTAACTTAACAAAATAGTGTCTAGGTCATACATTGGGCATATTGTTTTATTTAGAAGATGTAACTGAGCATATTTTTTATTTTATTTTTATGACAGTGGTACATATCAAGTGTAAGAAATACTCATCAAAAATGCAACATGTATGTAAAAATGCCATTTTTGAAATGGTGACAATTAAGGCACAATATGCGCCATATAATATACCCTGGTTTATGTCTGCTTTATCAAATGGAAGTCCTTTGTGGGGTTATTTGAATACTCATGCTGATATAAATACCCCAAAACGAGACATAGGCTCGTCAAATCGATCTACGAAAATTCTAACTATAGAAACTGAAATAGCCTTGTCTCTTATACGGCATTGTAGTTTCACAGAATAGTGCCCATGGTATACAATAGGGGTATTGTTATAGCACACACCAGCTTTACAAAATACACATCACAAAAACCTTGTAATATGTATATTTGCCAAAATGGAGAAAAAACACAATTTTACTCCAATATTTAGCAAAGATTGGTGATAAAATGGCTACGTAAAAAGTGTCAAACTAACCTTAGGTAAATAGCCTGTGATGTCTACTTTATAGAAATATATACTTTTGTGTGGCAATTTTGTTTTCTGTGATGGCTACTAAACCTACAAGACAAACATACCAACTTCAAAAATTGTTTCACATTGAAATTTTATTTTAGTCCTTCTACTTTGTGAAATGTAAATTTCAAAATAAGCTGAAATCCTATACATATTATGCACTCTATAAATCAAGACACATAAATTAGTTTATTTTGAATTACTTTTTCCAAGCTGGACATATTATGCACACGCTATTATTGCCAAAACTGTGAAAAAAAAATATTTGTTTGTTTTTTCCCCCCCATTTTTTTTGACATTTTTTTTTATAATTAATAAGAATGTATCTATGTACCGTATTTTCCGGCGTATAAGACGACTGGGCGTTTAAGACGACCCCCAACTTTTCCAGTTAAAATATAGAGATTGGGATATACTCGCCGTATAAGACTACCCCTCTTCCAATGCACACCAAATAAAAATTAGCCATGATGTACAGTGAGCAGACAGAGCTACACAGCAAGACATTAAATAATGATAATCTGAAATAGCATTTAAAGCCCAGGTATGTGCCAGGCTTTTGGGCATATAATCCATGCCTGCTGGTTTGGCACACAGGAGGCTAATTGCGATATATTCTTTTTACTCCCCCCGTCCATTCTTCCCTACTTTCTTCTCACCTCCCGCGTGGTACAGGAGATTCAGTTACCTGTTCCCGGCCCGACTGAAAGGAAGTGAGCACTCAGTGTGCACTTCCTTTCAGTCCAGCCGGGAACAGGTAACTGAATCTCCTGTACCGCGCGGTACCCGGCCGGACTGACAGGGCGAAGAGGAGCTCGGCCACCCACTCTGCACAGGGAAGGGGAGGTGAGAAGAGAGGCAGTGCGGAGCCGTCTGAGCGCTCTCTATAGAAGGGCCGGCGATGGGGGTGCAGGGCGCCCCCTGCAGCTATATAGACCCTATACCCGGCGTATAAGACGACCCCCGACTTTGGAGAAGATTTTCCAGAGTTAAAAAGTCATCTTATACGCCAGAAAATACTGTATATGTCACATCAAATTAATGCCCTTTTTGCCCTCTAAAAAACAGTATATAATATGTGTTGGTGCAATAAATGACAGAGATGCAAATTGTGTTTGAACACAAACAGCAAAAAATGCAAAAATTGCTTATGTCCTTAAAGTTAAGTCCAGTTTTTGAAGCTGCGTCCTTAAATGGTGAACAACACAGACAGACTCGCTTTGATGGGGCCATGCACGGAGAAAGTGGCAGGCGTCCCCAGGTAATAGAGCGGCCAGTCCAGATTTAAGGGGTCATTTATATATAAAATGTATTTTATTCACTTTTATATATTCACCAGTTTGCGCGCATGAAACATTTTCTAATCCATGAAACACATACATTCTGTAATGCACCAAAATATTCCATCCTTTCTCCACTTTTATTATTGATTTCTTTTCTCAATGGTTTTTACCATTGATTATATTCACAAAATAAGACATGATTAATACAGGAATTAATACAAATAGCAATAACAATTTGAATAACTTAATCCTTAAACAAAAGGAAAACCATGAAAGCCACTTGTCTCAGAAAACTCACCACTCGTGACAGCGATGGAAGAATTTGGTTCAAAGAAAAGGGACATTTTTTGGACAGTGAAAGCAAAAAAAATGATTACCCAAACAATGCACCAGAACAGGAGAGTAAAATGATGAAAGAGATGTAGTGAAGAATATTTGGAAGCAAATAAATGGGCACATATAGGAATAGCTCCACACAAACAGCCTCAATAGTGAGCATAACACCCACAGTATCCAGATAC